CCCTTTAAGACTTTCAAAAAGCACTCGGTTTTCTTTGTCCCAGAGGTGCTGGCTGCGGGACCCACTCACAGGTCTTACTGTCCTGTTTCCTTAGTTTCCAGCACTCCACGCATGCACTGTGTGTCTGCGCTCTGGTGCGGATGGCTAGGGCTGGGTGTTTAGCAGTCCTGGGCTCCCTCTCCCTCCCTGCTCTGACTCCTCTCCTCCCACTGGGAGCTGGGGTGAGGGGCCTCAGATCCCGCCGGGCTGCGGCTTGTATCTTACCCCTTTCACCAGGTGCTGGGTTCTCGCAGGTGTGGATGTAGTCTGGCTGTTGTCCTGTGTCTTCTGGTCTCTCTTTTAGGGAGAGTTGTATTTGTTGTATTTTCAAAAATATATGTGGTTTTTGGAGGTGATTTCTGCTGCTCTACTCATGCCGCCATCTTGGCTCTGCCTCCACTTTAATGCTTTTTAAAAGCTGTCACATCCCACCTCTGGCTGTGACATGTGTTTGGTATTGGGAATGACACCTTTGCTTCAGTTGCCCTAAATATCACACAGGCATTTATAGAGCTACATCTTTATTCAGTTTTAAGGGAGATTGTGGACAGGACTGCTCTCAGGAAAAAATTGTGATTCTTTGAGCAATCTTACCCTCAATCTTATCCAGACTTGGGGAACCTAAGTCATTAGCATCTCTTCCTTTTCCCAGGTAGAAACCTGCTGTAGGACGGGATCTGTTAAATTAATTCAAAGATACAAATTACTGATAATCCAATATATTATTACTCATGGAGACTTTTTTTTAAGGTAGAAATTTTAAAAGAGAGAGAAATTAAATATTATATTTCCTGTTGATAAGTTATGTAGTTTGATACACTAAGGTTGACTATCAATAAATGTAAGTTACCTGGTTGCCTGATTTGTTTATTTTGATACTGAAGCCAAATATTTGTATCTGTTCAGAAATGACTTCAGGTTCTTTTTTATTCTAAATATATTCTGTATATTTTTTATTGGTTACAACTTTTCCTCTTGGATAGCAACAGTTTGTTACCATTTCTGAGAAATCAGAACATTTAAGTGATTTGAGTCTCAGTTGAATATGCAAGCTGTTCATTTTGGAATACCTGCTCTGCTACCACGACCACCAGGTAATAAACCGTGGACTTGTCTTCTGTCTTAGTCATTCAAATAAGTTTTTATTAATAGTCTGGAGGGATATTTTTTTAGACATCATTTTTATGAGAAGTTTTAGATTTACACAAAAATTGAGCTGGAAGTGCAGCATTCCCATACAGCCTCTCACCCAACCCCCACCTTTCCCTACTGTTAACATCTTGCATTTGTGTCACACATTTATCTCAGTTGGTGAGCCAACAGTGATGCATGATATTAGCTACAGTCTATGGTTTACACTCAGGTGTGACCTCTTTGTATTGTGCATTCTGTGGGTTTTGAGGAATGCATAATGACATGTATCCAGTATTATTACAGTATCATACAGAATAGTTTCACTGCCCTAAAGGTCCTCACTGCCCACTGGTTCATTCCTCTCTCTCTCTCTCTCTCACCCCACCCTGCCCCCAGGCCCTTGCAACTACTGATCTTTTACTGTCTCCATACTTTTGCCTTAGTCTGTAGGTTTTTAACGGTAGGTACCAGACAGGGAACAGTTTGGCTGGGGCAAGTCATTGTGGCAAAACAATGGAGATTTTTAAATTTTCCATAAAACACATCAATTACAGCATGTAAACATAGAATTTTCATGAATAACAGATGCTTCTATTTACTTTTTATTCAACTGACCATTAATTTATAACATACTATGTGTTAACAGTAGTAACATGACAGACAAGATCTCTGCCCTCATGGTATATAATTCAAATGAGGGAAAAAGAAAGACAGAAATTAAACAAAAGGTCAAGCAGAATATTTTTCAATACTGCTAAGTAGGATGATGGAAATAAAACAGGGTTATGTGATAGAGTGACAGGTGGGGGCAGTGGTTAGGGAAAGCTTCTCTGGGGATACGACATTTGATCTGAGAATTAAGAGATAAGAAGCAGTTATTCATGTAAGAAAACATTCCAGGCAGAGGGAATCACAAATAAAATGTTCCAGAGATGGTCTCACTGAAGGAAAAAAAAACCTCCTGTGATAATAGGGGAGGGGGAGTGAGCTGAGGAGCAAGTAAGGGGTGAGGCCGGGAGATGCACAGGAGGCAGGGAGAGGCAACTGGGATGGATGGGCAAGGCCAGATCATAAAGGGCGCTGTGGGCCACAGTAAGGAGCTTCAGTTTATTTCAATCAGAAGCTACTAGAGGATTTTTAAGCAGGAAAGTGACATGATCTGATTTACAGTTTTCAAATGATCACTCTGGATTTGCAGAGTATCTTAGAATACCTCTTCAAAATAAATACTTACACTAACATGTCAAGAGCATTAAAGATGCCAACCAATACAATTCAAATCCTAGAAAGTAAAAATGGTGCTTTTAACCTTCAAGGCTTATGTCATCACTTGTATCTGTCCCTAAAAGAAATAACCAACACAGGTATCAATAGTATTTTTTATCACTTCCACAGTCTGCCGAGCTTACCATTAAACACAGGGATATTTACACTCAAATACCTACCAAACAAAAAATCATTTCCAAAGAGAACTATAAATAAATATATCATTGTAGGTATTTCTGATTTCCACTTTTCCTTTAAGCTTTGGAAAACTATGCTACATGGGCAAGTACAAATTGCATTTTAAAAATACAGATGAGAGGAGGCTGATGTTCAGATTTGGCTCCAGCAGATAAAAGTGAAAAACACCATCGGACACTTGGGGACGTGAAATGGAAATTGACCAACCACAGTCCAGGTGCTTCCCTGCTTATTACAGGCCCAGCTCCAGGGGACCAGGCTTCCCTCTCAATGAATGATTTTTCTTTCTTAGCTGAAAAGGGAATTAGAGGAATAGGTGATTTCCACTGTCTGTCTCTATGGCAACTAGCACCTTAATCTCACCTCTTAGATGGCAATTATACCAATTCACTGAATAGCTCTCAGTCTCTACTTTTATGATGAAAGAAATTGATTTCATGAAAAATGAGATATAGTTAATTGGTGAATTTTCCCCCAGCAACCATGAAGTACAGTTTATAAGAGGTATGATCATTCATAAGAATACACCCGGTGTTTTTTTTCTTTTTCAATTATAGGATACTTATCCTAATGTCTTTTTCTAGTTGTTTCTTAAAGATAAAATATTTTTCTTTTCTTCCTTAATGTTTATTTTTATCAATTATAGAAATTAGTTGGGTTTGTTATAAAGAGTTTGGCAAGTACAGAGAAAATATAGAAAAACATAACAAAATAAAATTCACTATCCTTATTTAAAAATTATCACCATTAACATCCTGCTAGCATTTTAGATGTGTATCCACATAAATATAATTTAAATCCTATAGTGTATTTTTTTTGCAACTGGACTTTTTTACAAAATGTGAGTTCTCCATATCATGAAATATTCTTCCAACACATGATTTTAATGTCCTCAAACAAGTCCATAATATGGAATTATTATATTTTATTTAACTAATTCTTTTATGTTGGCATTATTAAACATAAACATAAATGCTTATGCATATCACTATTGGCTTAGACTAAATCCCTGGGAAAGAAATATATGAATCAAATGGGATTATTTTAAAATTATATTGATAAATTTTTCTCCAAAAAAATATACCAATTTATTTTCCCACTAGAGGTAGGTGGATGACAGTATCCATTTCCTTAAATTCTTTCATCAGAAGTACTATGGAAAACAATGCCGATTTGATGGAGAGAGGGTGTATCTCACTACACATCTTTAATAAAAAACTAATTTTAAGGTTAAATTTGTCTTTACACTTTCACTGATTTTTAAGAGGGAGGAGATACATGAATTGCCTGTTCACCTCTGATGCAAAGAAAATTTGTTATCTTATACTCATTCTCCCTTTACTTTTTAGTTAGGCACATAGCTCCTTCAAAAAAAGACATTTCCCATTCTCCTTGGCAGCTAAATGTGACTATGGGTTAACTCCAGACTGATGAAATGTAAACAAAAGTGATCTGTGCTAGTTCAGAGAAATGCGCTTAAAAGGAGAAGATATGCTCCATTTTTCCTTTTCATTATTCCCAGTGGTTAGAATGCAGATGGCTGGAGCACCAGCAGCCTTTTTGGATTATGAGGACAATGGTCACACTCTAGGGATGGTGAAGAAGGCTAGAGGGAGCCTGGTTTCCTAAGAACTTTGCAGAAATGCCATCCTTAATAGCTGGTCTCCCAGTTTTTTATGTGGATGAATAAACCTTTGTATCTTTAAGCCATGATTGGCTTGCTTTATGTTATATTAAAGTGAACTTAATCCTGATTGATGTACTTATTTTCTCTTACTGATTTTTAAGTGTCTTTCTATTTTAAGGATATTTACACTTGTATCTGGCATATATGTTACAAATTTTTCCAGTTTGTCATTTGCTCCTTAATTTTTTTACAGGATTAGATGTAAAATTATAGTTATTCTTAATTTAATTGCTAAATTCCATTATGGATTCAGAAAAATCAGATAATAATATTGGCTTAGAAATATAAAAGCCAAATAATTATTTTACATCAACTATTATAAGACAGCACCAAAACATAGGTTTACTTCCTATGGTATGCAATTAAATGGTTATATCATAGGCTAATGCCATTTAGATGATGAGAAATTGTGTATACCTTTGAGGATGTAACCAATAATTCATTACTAAAGTACATATCTTCTATTTGCAATCTGTAGAGCTCTGGGTTCAAAGCATTGCCTCGGAGGCCTTCACTGTGGCTTAGGGGAGGTTGAGTAAGTCAGCTCTATCAGCCACTCCCAATCCAGGTTTCAAAGGCAGTCACTCTGTGTTATTTATTAGAGTTCCACAAAAGAGCCCCTGCCAGATGATTTCCCACACACAGAGAGAAGGAATATAGAGTCACAATTTCCTACCAGATCATAAGCAGTTAGCATCTTTTTCTGCACATCTGGAATTGCCCCCAGAGGCTCCAGATAAGGAAAGTTGTCTTTCATCACAAGAGACACTGAGGGAGTACTGTCACTGGTGATGAGCCGAGAGGACAGGGTCAACAGGCACTGCTTCAGACTGGCAATTGGAGGAAGTCCGCACAGTTCCTTAATGGACACTATGGCATTCTATGGGAAGGAAAACATGGAATTACACTTCTGACTACATGACACATCACCCCCAGCACTTCTAGATTTACACAAAAGTATACTCATTAAAAGTACACCCTAAATACATATGTAACTTGGAGTAAACTGCATTAAAACCAACCAGAAACATATTGTTGTGCATGGAGGTAACACACACTCTTCCACTTAATCTTTCTAAATCTTTAGCAACCTCCACAAATGTGTCACAAAGCAAGACAGATTGTGACCCAAGGCTACACAGTGCTTTTCAAAGCAGAACACTGAAATATTCACAGAAACCAACATTGGTGGGTCATGAATATCCTATCTGGTTTGTACCGTGATGATCATAAAAACATGCCAGTGGTTGCAGACCGGGTGCACCTCCTTTGGGCTTTTCCCGTCAAGGGAGCAGGCTGCTATTACCACCGTCCATCTAACTAAGCATCAATGATATTCTTTTGTCATTCCATTAGAAATGCATCTAACAGGCACACATACTAAACATATCCATGTAGAACTACATTTGTCTATGTTGCAGGCTTTTAGAAAATTCATTTGAAATAGGAATTATGACTATTTTATATTTTATCAACAGTGAATACCTAACCTATTATATATCATGAATTTAATGACACTGATGGTATTCATCTTTCTACTGCTTAGGCTCCAAATAATCCTGAAAAGACTGTTGAGATGATACAAATTATCAGTATTACCTAGAAAGACTTTATCCATAACCACTTCTCCTTAATATGTGCTTTAAACACATAATATATGTAAAGGATACATTTCAAGAATTATATATAAGTGTATGAAATCTATTTCTAATATACAACATTAGGCATTACTCATAACTAATGCTCATAACTAATCTAATAGGATTTATAATAGTTATAGAATTATGTCAGAAAAGGTCAGGTAGAAGATGCTAATATTCGGATCCTATTTTTAAAATAGTGACTAAGGCAACCCACCTCAAGTTACGTGTTTACAATCTAAGTATTTATATGAGATTTACGTACCACCCTATTTCTACCATTTTGGCTTTTTAAAGTTGATTTTAAGTTTATCCCAAAATTTCTCTGTGAAATAATGTAAAAATAAAATCTTTGCCAACTGATGGGTTTGGGGTTCAGCATTACATGACTAAAAACCATGAATGATCCTGGCTTTGGTAATAGGCAATTCTGAATTTAAAGCCCAACATTTCTATTCACTAACTGCAATTTTGAGAAATTACTTAACCTCTTCAACCTTGTTTTCTGTCTTGAAAGAAGGGATGTTTTTGGTGAGTGTCACTATAAAATGTTAGTTAGCTAAAGGAGCAAACAAAATGCCTTGTAAAGCATTCCACCCTGTTTTGTTCTCATACACGGACTGCTGCCACTTCGGTCGACCGACACCTCCTTGCATTTTACAGGAACTTAGAATTTGTTGTTTGATTGCTTCTCAGTAACAAGAGCCTAGAACAAGTATATTAAATGGTAAGGAATAAAGAAATTGGTAGCCATCTCTGATTACATGCATTAGTAAAAGGAAAACATTGAATTTCTGCATGCCAAGACTGGGCAATTTACAGATACTGTCATTTAATCCTCATAATAATCCCGTGATGTAGGATTTTTCTTAGTCTATGTAGAGAAAACTGATGATCAGAGAGAGATCTAAAATAATGTGCTCAAGATCACATGGGGATAGAGTTTAATCCAGAATCCATGTTCTTTCAATTGAACCACATTTCTAAGAGAAGACTAAGAAGTTTTCAACAAGTTCAAGTGCTGAATTGTGTTTGATTGGTCTTGCTTGCTCCTGTAGGGACTGATTTATTATTGCTGTTGCTGGACATTTAAAGAACTAAAAAACAATTTAGTAGGCATTACATTTGTTTTATATGATTTCAAATTCCTTTTTATGTTCATTACTGCTAATATTTCTCATATATATTTGTAATTAGTATGTGTTGGTGTATATATAATATTTTATATATTACACACATATATAACACTTCATATTCTATTTTTTCACATTGTTTCATATACACATTCCCAAATATCCATTTGGTTATGTAGTAGAGATATCTAATTGGATATATATAAAGCATTTTAGTACATTGGTACTACATTAACTGGCTTAGTTCAGGCCAAATGTAACATAGCATTTGTTCATAATTAGAAACATAAAATGTATCTGTTTTATCACAGGCAATACTGAACTCAATTCAGTGTTTACACAGCCTTTCTGATAACATTCTGAGGAATCAAGTCATGAGCAGAACACAGTGTTCACTGGTGAGAGAGGGACAGGGAGACGTAGGGGAGGGGAGGGGAGGCGAGAACGGGGTTTTTCCTACCTGCATGTTTTCTCTCATATCTATGGCTTCTCGTAATGGATGAACTGCTATTTTAAAGATGTCATCTATAGTTTTAAGACCGATATTCCTGAGCATGGTGTATTCCCGAACTTTCTTCCCCATTCTCACGGAAAGGCTGCGCTTCTGTGCCTTTCCTCCTCCACTTCTATTAGTTATTGCTATGTGGACAAAAAGGGTAACGTGCTCCATGACGTCACCCACAAAGGAGCGCAGGGGAACATGGCGATATCCGGGCTGCAAACACTCAAACGGTATTGTATATTGCCCTATAAACTCATCCCCAATGTAGTCATCATCCAGAACCACAAAACGGATCATGGCCAACTCAGGTAGGTTTACTTGAAACTCAAAAGTTTCATCAAAAATAGGATTATCACTGTTTTGTTGTACAGTTTTAGTTCTTTGTTCTGAACAGTCCGCCGGAATTCCATGAATCTCTATACAAACATAGGGATCTATGACATCCCCTTTGGCACAAGCTCCCTTGGGCTTTGGAAAATTCTGACCACTGATGATCTTGATATGAAGAGCGAGAGGAGACACCCCAGGTACAATGCCCTTTGTATTTGCGCTGAAGTAAGAGACTTCGTCTCGCATGATAGATGGCCGTAGAACATAACCACAGCCTCCATTTTGAAGAAACCAGCCTGTGTGAAGGTCCATCATTGGACCTGGAGTCTGGAAATTCATTGCCACAATCTGACAGCCACAATTCCAAAAATCCTGTGGATTCAAGTTACTGGAATCAATCCTCATGGCACTTGGATAGACTCTTGATAAGAACTTCTTATTATAATTTACAAAATCCTCTGGGTATTCATTTGCAATTCGGCTGGCTTCTGTTTCACTAAATGAACAAATTTCCCAATAGTTTTGGCTTTTCATAGACAGTTCAAAATCCCTGTACTGAACAGATTTGCAGATAGATACCAAGTCAGAGAGCTCCCTACACAGCCAGATATGTTTCTGTTCACCATTGTAATCTACTGACATCCTTCGAGACATTTCAGCTTCTTCATCTTCATCTGTTACTTCTCCTTCCAAAACTTCTGGGTCAGAAGGCAATTTCTTTCCTTTTACGATGATCATTCTTTTTAACTTTTCTGGCGATGGGAGGTAGGATTCTGATGGCAAAGGTGCTTCGGTATAGAGTTTCCTGCCAAAGACCTTTTTCATCTGTTGAACCATGAACTTCTGCTGTGGTAGAGAGCAGTGATTCCCCAAGCAAAGAATGAGTGGGTATTCAGAAGCAACAAAGGCAAACTTATTTATCACCTCTATGACACTTCGAAAGGAAAGATGTATTGTCATGTTATTTCGATTGCAAAGAATTGGTTCATTGTCTGAACCATCACTTACATCAAGTTCAATGCTTCGACAGCCCATTTTCAAAGCTCTAACATACCCGTTAATATCAGCTGGCCCCCTGAACTGGTCTTCTATGAGATAGGTGTTGTGAGAGGCATTGATGTAGTAGTGAGATAATGGCTGGGTCATATCTTGAGCAACCTTTTTTTGCTCGGGATCAAAAATGTCACATTCTGGAGACAACAAATACTGGGTAAAGCCATCAATTGCAAGAAACCCTTTTTGACGTCCCTCTTCGGAAAGCTCATATCTCCGAATAATGTCCAAGCACATATCCTCACTGATATGGGTAACTCCTTGCTCAGCTTCTAAAAAGAGCATGAGATCATTGGCATCCAAATATTCTTTGTTTTTAGATATCTGTACAAGTAAGAAATACACTTCTGGCCTGGTGCAAAGTTCACAAAAAGCTTCACAAAATTCCTCCTCTGTCACTCGGGTGGTTAGTTTTTCTTTGCTCTTCTGAATTTCTTTAAACTTTAACCTGATCTTAGATTCCTTCAGGGTAGGATTGAGTTGTTTTATTAACTCTACAGAGGTATGTTCCAACATAACCCCGTTGCCATCGACATCTGCTGCTTCAAACACTGTTTTCAACCACATGAGCCTGGGTGTATTCTGCTTGCCCTCCATAAAATCAAGAGGTTGCTTACTTCGAGAAACCAGGTACCGTAACCCTGACACCCAGATGTTTGCCACATCTGCTGAGTTGGCAACTAGGTCCAGAGACTCATAGTTCTCCCCATGGAGTATGGAAAAGGCAGAGTCCTCGCAAATCTGGTCAGCAAGGCCGTTGTTTCTGAATGTTTCCGTGTTCTTCCCCAGCCGGATCTCTTTAATGGCAGATATATCAAGCTTTGCTTTCTCAAGGTCTTTCTTGGAAGGTTCCCAGCGAAGAGCCTGGAGGTCTGTGTCCAGAGTAAAAAAACGGTTGTAAATGCGAGAATTTGGCCGGACTTTCTTCAGTTCACAGCCAGCTTGCATAAAGCTGATGCAGTCGCTGGCACTGCTGATTTTCTTCTCCGATGGCATGCTGCTGAAAGACACGGTCTTCTTTCTTCCACCACATTTTTGGTTTGAAGGATCCTGCAAAATAATTTGAAAATAATGAATCGATTTCCTGTAAAAAAAAAAAAAAAAGACTAACTCAGTAATACCCTATGAAATCCTCAGACTCTATTCAAATATTATGATTACTCAGAAGAAGCTAGCCTAAAACATATCTTTTTTACTGCTTCAGAAAAGAGAAATTTCCAACAAGATTGATGTTATTAGGTTCAGAAAAAATGTGTGTTCCAAATGGCTGTGTGTTCTTTGAAATACAATCATGTATTAACTATAAATCACTTACTTGTTCATTAAAGCAGATTTCATAATAACGTCTGCAACCTAGCTCAAGTCCCTGTGTGTGAAAGAAATAAGGCTGGATTTCTTTTAAAAGTTTTCTTCATTTATATTTTGCAATGGTTTACATTGTATACACAAAACTAGTTCAAATAAAATATTTTTCCCTCAATATCTGTTACATCAAAAAGGGTTTACAATATAGCTTAACTAAAAATCACTTTTTTTTCCTCAAGCTATTTTGAAGAACATAAGTGTCTTGAAAGTCAGACTGGGAGCTAGCAATAGACAAAGGACTCTCACCTGAGCAAATTTATAAACTAAGGTAAACAATTGAAGTGAACATTATGAGAATTCACACCTGCCTTTCAGAATAATGCTATTAGCAGCTACAGCCCAGACCAAACAGAAATGTGAATGGCTCTACCAACTTTTAAGGTTCTTCCAATGTAAATTAAATTTCAAAGCCTTTGCCCTTAGATTTCACAGGGAACACTTGCTTTTTTTACCCATTGCTGTAAATGCCCTTGTATCTTAGTTTCATAGAATCCCAGTCTCCTCAGCCCATTCCTGCAACAGTGCCAACAGGGCATCAAAGTTCATCTGTTCAGATCAGAGTATCTTAAGCAGGTTAATTATTTCTCATGGCTATTTCTTTTTGAATGTTACTCACGCCTTTTACCTATTGTCTTTCCTAAATAGGTCTAGTCCTCTGAATGAAAGAAAGGTGATGAATTTCATCTTAGGCCTGGACTATCACTGTGTTTATCACTCCCACTTCATTTGCACTAAACATCTAACTAATGCCACTTAAAAACTGGATATTTCTTTATTCTTTCCTCTGTTCAGACCAAAACTCACATTAATAATGTTCTCAATTGTATCTTCAACTCAGATAATTCTCCCAGGAACAAACTGCCCAAAAGCAAACTTAATGTTTATAGTGCCTGATTTTATAAGCCTATCAAAAAGGCAGCAAAGTGTAGAATGCAAAATATATTTTTCTTAGGGCAAAAGTACCTAGTCCAAAATTGTGATTATTCCACTTACTAGATATTTGACCTTGGGTAAGTCACTTAGCCTCTTTGAATCTTAATTTCTGCTTTTAAATAGGAATTGATGATCCTCATATATATAATGATACTGTTATTGGGGGGCTCAAAAGAGAAAATGCTCATGAATATTCTTTGTAAACTGTGTTTGTAAGGGTCATCTTTTTGACAGAAAAGGAAAATTTCTTCATACTCCTGGTCACTGTAGGACCATCAGTAGACACAACCAGGATGTTGGGTGTTGTTAAGAAGCTGATTCATTCTTGAGCTTTGATCATTTAACACAAATTTTCAGTGATAAACTGAAAATATTTCTAAAACAGCCACATGATATCACTATTTACAGCATGGAAAAGTATAGCCAAAGTAGTCAAGGCTGTCTCTTTCACTGGCATTCTTTAAAACCGAGTAGAATCTCTCCTCCACAGCTTCATTTAATTGTGATCCTGCCAGTAAGAGCCTCCTTATCCTGTGATTCAGGAAAAGACAGGATGATTTATTGTTCAATTGACTAAAATCTTGCCTGTGAAAAGGAAACAAAGTTTGCTTTAGTTATGGGATGTTGGTGGATAATTCATTAACTTAAATATATATCTGATCTTCAAGTGACAAATAAATAAATTACCCAATTTATTTACAGAATAAATAAAAAATATTCTATACAGATTAGAGACTGGTGCCTCTTGGTGCTCTGGCATTTAAGAACATAGCTCCTGCTTTGCCAGAGAGCTGTTATTTTAAATTATCCCATTGTGGTCAATTTTCTTATCCTTAAGTTAAAAAACAACTATAAATCTTTGGCTGCTTATGTGCAGATGTGCTATTAGAACACATTTAAATTCAATGCAACCTACATGCTCAGAAATTTCAGCTGTTTGTGTGTATTTTTCCACACCATCAAGGCAGACACCTAATAGCACTGGTGAGATGGGATTAATCCACCAAGTAAAATAAAGAGGGAAACTGCACATTGTGTTAGTGAATTAGACTGTGACTCAGCTTTTAAAGCTACCACTTGACTAGTTTTTTAAGCTAATAGGAGCTTCCACATTAAATATATCTTTATATAAGCAGATCATGTTCCAAATAGGATTATTGTCAACAGAGTTATAAAACCCATAGTACTTCCTAACAGACCTTAAATGACAAATTAGTGTTCCCCTCTGCATGTATATAGTTCCTGCACCCTATGTATGATTTTTATACCACTCTTCAGAGTCTAATACCCCATTTTTGACAGGAGCCACTTTTTATTTATGAGAATAAAACTACTGTTGTCACAAGAGCTTTCTCTCATAAGCCTCTCTCTTCTTTGTGGCACTTTCTCCTTAAATCAAGGCTTTCTCTCCTAGTAAGATAAGCCTTCAAAAGATAAATGTATTGGAAGGAAAAAGGAAAGACTGATATGGAAGAAATTATTCAGAGAATTGAAAATGTTGTCCTTGATGCAAATTGCAGTAGAGATGTGAAACATATGCTCTTGAAGTTTGTAGAACTCTGATCAAGTAACTGGGGTAGAGTCCATGCAACCTCAACATACAGAGAAGCAACACCTGAAAATGATCCTAACTATTTTATGAATGAACCAATGTTTTATACCTCCGATGGTGTTCCTTTCACTGCAGCTGATCCAGATTACCAAGAGAAATATCAAGAGTTACTTGAAAGAGAAGACTTTTTTTCCAGATTATGAAGAAAATGGAACAGATTTATCGGGGGCTGGTGATCCATACTTGGATGATATTGATGATGAGATGGACCCAGAGACAGAAGAAGCTTATGAAAAGTTTTGTTTGGAATCAGAGTGTAAGCGAAAACAGTAAAGTTAAATTTCAGCATAGCGGTTTTAGCAGTTTAGGTTATGGCGATTTAGCAGAACACAGGAAAGCAAGAAAATTTGTCACACTTATACCAAATTAAGGATGTTGAGTTATGTTACTAAGTATGCAACTTTAATTTTGTTTAATACTATCTGCCAAAATAAACTTTATTCCGTATAACTTAAAATGTGTATATATATAAAATAGTTTATTATGTATAGTTAATTCCACTGTTTTGGCTGCAATAAAATTGATTTTGAAATTTAAAAAAAAGATGAATGTATTATATTTAGCCTATGAAACAATTCCTTACCCCATAATGCCTACTTCTTGCTTTGATCTCCAATACCTACATGACTATAAAACATCCCAAATGCCTTAAAACTTGGAACCAGTGAAAAGGATATAATCTTAGGTTGTCATCTCACAAAGGATAAAATCCAAAGATATTATAAGCTCCAAAATGAGCAAAAAACTGGCTGTAGCACAAATGAATAAATAATTGGCTTGTCTGCTGTTAGGTAGAGCCAAGAGTATTTATAGTCAAAATATGCTGAAAGGTTTCAGGACTGATATTTCTCCAGGTCTGTTCTTTCAATGTTGGGAGGAGGGGAGACGGAAATTGTGTAAGAGTGGACAGGGAGGATGGACAACTTCAAATCTCCTTCTGAGCTCTCTACCAGTGTGGCCTCTTTGCCACGTCCTACAACCCACAGCTGTATTTCCCTCAGGAAGATCTTGGCAGATTAGCAGTGAGGAAGGAAAACTGTTGAGGTAAATACACAGGGTGTATCCCCCACTGATAAACGTTGAAGTGTTGATGATATATACAAAAAACACAGAAAGCAAATCCATTGTAGTTATCTGTATATTGAGGAGACAGGAACTTTCAGAGAGAAACCAGACTTCATTATCAGTGCCGGGGTGCTCTTGGAAGCTTCCAGCTCACTAGAGGATTGAATTGATTCCAGTGATCCTAAGGTCATTAAGGTCATTATTCTAAAGAGATTATTATAAAGCATGAGGACTTTCTGTTTATTTCAAAGCTAAACTTCCATACTCCGGAATGAAGGGAAGAAGCTAAGGTACCAATTCCCTCCAAAGTTTCTCTTACAGCAAAGCAGCTTTAAGAAAGTTTAAATTTATTAGGATGAATAGCACATTGCATGCCCCTATTGCCTATATTAAAGCTTAGCTTCCTATACTAGTGGAGTCTGAGAATTAGTCAGGCATTGAACTCAATCCTTTCTATTTTCTAACATTCTGTGTTTAAGTTTCCAAATCACCATTTCACAAGAAAGGATCAGATTTACAAGTTAAATTTTTAAAAAATAAGTTGTGTTTATATGGTTTCTAAACATTTATAGATAATACATTGTATTTTGGAGTGATTGTCTTTAAATTAATCAACACTTCATATAAAGGATTTAATCATCAGAATTGAGAAGAGTCATAAACTAGTAGAGAAGTAGACAAATGTTTTACTCTTTCATTATAACAATACAAGACACTGATTTGCCTATAAGTATTGTTTCTAATACATTCATAACCTGGAGATAATTTCTATCTGAACTCATGAAGTAAGGGTTGATTTCTAATCTTAGAAATAATTTCAAGGTATGAGGTAAAATAGCCAAGTGTTTGGTTTTTTTTTAAATTTCCACAGCACTGCTGTTTTTCCACGATTAGGAATAGGAACCCAATCATAATTAAATAAGACTCCTATGCAACAGTAAAATAAATATATAAATATACTTATAGCCCCCTAAATATATTTTATTAGATAAAAACTGAAAAAATGATCGAATAAACTAAACTAATAAACCTCTTTCATAAGCTCCCACTGACATTCACTCTCTGAGACCAATAA